TAAAATTTTTTTCTTCAAGTTCTGTAAAATTTGACCCGGCCGGTTATGAGAACCAATTTATCAAGTTTGTATGACCTTATATAGATTGTATGTATAGTGCTAATAAATTTATGGATCTACTATTTCCATCATGTTGTTGTTTTGGTATTTCCACCACGGAATGTAGATCATGACCAGAATTAGGTTAGAGATAAGGTTAGGGTGGAAATAGCAAATTACCATGGTGGAAATAAATTTAATGTGAAGATACAAGTAGACGTATAACAATTTTTTCAATAAAGCCTTGAGTTATTCGTGCATGAAAACACGATTACTCTTTAACAACCGATTCTCAAGAATATATCGGGGCTATTTATGCATGTTGTTAACTATAGATATTCAAAGTAATAACTGCTCTATATACTTGAAATAATTCATAATAAATAAGAAAGACAAAAGAAATAAATAGAATATTAAACTAATCAAATAAAGATATAAAATATAAAAATATAATATATCTGCAAAGATATTAGAGAGACCAATAAGAGTTTGTACTACTGCCGGGTGTCAAGCGATGGTCTTAGTTGAAAGCCCAATTGTAGTTTTCTCTTGTCAACACTCGAATGCTTAAATTTAAACATCGTATATGTACTTAAGTACCTGATTTTGGTTATTATACTAGAGTTATTTCGATTCATGACCTTCAGCCACATCCGTGCATAACTTGTAATGATCTCATGCTTTTTAATAACAGCCGTTTATATTTCTTACCTGAAAACAAAGCATAATAATAACTAAGAGATTTAATGAAATTTGCAGATCAAGAAAAAGAAATCATTTGGTTGATAGGTTTCACATCGGAGTGATTCTGAAATTGAATGATTTTTTTGATGATATGCAAATTTTGCCAACTACAATAAAGTATTCAAAACTTTATGGTGATTACTTTTGTTCCTAATCTTAAGATCAATAACATCTAATTTATAATTGTTTACCTTCAAAGATCACTTTAATAATTCGATTTCGGCTACCATTTTATTGATTCCAATTGCATTACTTTTTTAATTTTTGATAAAAATCAAAGCTACCTTATATAAATCTTCAATTCTTTATACTCAACCATTATAAAGAAGAATACAATAATAATTAAGAAATTATAAACAGAGATGTATCTTGCACGTGATTCTCGCGAGATGACATCAAATCTTGCGCAAGATAAACATAATTTTCAGTATATATTCTGAAACGAATTCTTATCACATGATACTCGCGAAATTGTGCGAGATATTTGAAGTGTATGCTAGGTTTATCTCAAGAGAAACATAACTCTAGTTATAAGTAATTAAAATCATTATTTAATATAAATTGTTATTTTAATAACAATGCTTTTTATTAAAAAAAGATAAGTCGAATATACTTAAGCACAAAATCTATAAAGACATTTTATGAATCTGAAATATTTCATATTCTTCTACTGAAAAATATGAATTATTACCAATATAAGGTGATGCGCTTCTAATTTGACTTTCATAATACTCGTAATTGGTATGATGATAGCAAAAACATTGCTTATCTAGGTTAAAGTTCTTCAACATATAAAGATTACAATAAAATACTGGACCACATTTTTCAGAATTAGAGTAAATTGCAGTAGTCGGCTTCTTAACACGACTTATAATAGATTTTTGAGTGGCACCATTTTTCAATGAAAAAGTAAAGCTATCATTGCAATTCTTAATGCCTATAACTTCTTTGTCCCATCCAATAGGATTATATCCACCAATAATTTCATCAGTACCTTTAATTTTCATAACTACAACAAGATGTGTTTTCTTATCACATAAATTCCAGAATGAATCTTTGGTAAAACCATCCCTAGTTCCACGAAGCAGTAAATTAAATTCATAAGGATTATTTGTTACAGAATATGTATCCACTTTTTTATCAATCCATGATGCGATTTCAGTCGCATGTTCTTCACTAATAACTATTGAAAATGATTCAGTTATTCGTATTGGTAATGGTTGTGTCACGATCGTGCGAGGTGGAAGAATTTTTGATAATACAGGTTTGTGTGGAGAAATAAATCTCTTCTTTATGTCTTTCCAAAGGCCTTTCTCAAGAATTTGTTTATACGGATATACATATTCGTTAATATCATCACCAGACATTTGAAAGTATCTAATGAGAGGTAGGAAGTCTCGCAAGGTAGTCTTTAAGGCTAGAAAGTTTTCATGAGTCCAATCTTTAGGATTGGATGGTAAGTCAGAATTTTGGGCAATTCCCCATTTGATAACATAATTCCAAATTTTTATTTCTTCCATTTGTAAATCATCTCGTCCGATGAGTGATACTAATGCATTTTCATGAAGCAAAGTAAAATCTTCAGTGTCAAAAATCTTATCAGGATATTTTACCACAATATCATTACACCAGTTTTGCAATTCTTGAAGTGTATTGCTTTTGAAACTTTTTTTATAAACATAAGCAAAATGTAAACGAAGCCAATGAGCTTTTGTCTCAATCAAATGAGTTTCAATATATTTAGCCAATTCTTCAAAAAGAAACTCGCAAGCAATAAAAATGAGCTCAAAGATAAATTTTGTATCAAGACTTTCTAATGAAACTACTCCTCCATATATATATCTTTATATCAGATTAATAAGTTAATAATTTAAAATATACATATAAATTTAAGAATTAAATTATAACTTACTTGATAATAATATCAAATTGTTGAACAGAAACATGATACAAATTAATTGTTTTAATTCCATTTTTATCTTTATCGAGATTTGCCAGTTTATTACAAAAATATAATGACCGATATCTTAAAACAGCAGAATGAGCTTGGAATCTTCTAACGTCAGAAGATTTATCAACATTAATAATTACATTAAAGTCTTCTTTATCATTAAGAAGTTCAGTATAATCATTTGAAAGTTTTTCAAAAAATTTTATCGTCATTTTTAATGCTTCGATAAGAAAACGGAGAATGCAATTGATTGTAGCACTGGCCACTCCAAATTGATTCTTTGTTTAACATAACATTAACTAATCATAGGAGTGGGGGAGGGCATAAAAAATACACAAATTAAAAAAAAAATACAGAAATTTTATCGACTAAAAAATATAAAATATATAAAAAGCTAATACTGCTATTTGATTGGTCAATGTTATGTGTATTTTTTCATAAAATTTTGAAAAATAGAAGGGATGTTAAACGAAGAATTAAATTGGTCTGGCTTAATATGGATTAGGGTGCATGAGAATAACCTAATTCTAGATTGAATTACATATAACGATAAATGGGATATCCACGAAACAGGCACTAAATACAAACGATGATCGATATTTACGGATTAATATATTTGCCACTTCTTATTAAATTAAACAGATTATTTAAAGTTCTTATATGCCTTCCGTGTTTTATTTAAATTCCACGGGCTTCCATAAACTTTAAATCTTCACACAAAAAACACCGTTCCCTGAACTAAGTATAGGAATCAAAAGATCGGATCAAATTTTTTATAATCAGTCGATCAACTAATCGATTAGCAAACTAGTAGTTATTTAGTCATCTAGTCATCTATATAGTCAAATTTTACTAATCATTTGCGCGAAACAAGAAACGGGAATATGTGGGCTGCCATAATAGAAATCAAATAAACTAACATTTTTTTTAAAAAAAAAATTTTTTATTCCGAAAGAATGACAAAAGAAGCACCGATAGAGCATTAAAAGAACAATGCAAAAAGCATTGAAAATATGACTAAAAAAGCACCGAAATGTGACGAAAGAAAAACTGAAAGAATACAAAAAAAGCATTGAAAGAACGTGTAAAAACAGAGAATAACACAAAACATGTCGAAAGAATGACGAAAGAAGCACTGAAAGAACAATATAAAAAGCATCAAAATATATATATATATAATAAAATAAGTAAAAGACATTTAAAGAATGTGTAAAAAGCATTAAAAGAATAACATAAAACATGCCGAAAAAATGGTACAAACACCGAAAGAATGATGTAAAATTCACTAAAGCATGATGAGAGAAGTACCAAAAGAATGATGTAAAAGGCACAAAAAGAACGAATACAAAAAAAAAAAACTTGGTTGTTTGGTTTATAGATTAGTCACTACTAATGTAAAGAAAAAATTATTTACTCCTAATTCTTGTTTTCATTTTTTTCATCAATTTATGAAAATCAAGGGATTATATATGAGTGTCGCTAAAAGAAAACCCGAAAATTTAAATATGACTTATAGCGACACTCATATAATATAGGTGGGCATATAAAGTATGTGACAACTATCTATGAAAATTCTATAAGATTCCATAATTAAAATTCATATTTATATATCATACCCTTTGCTATATATAAAAAAAACTTACTCTATCCTACTAACCTATATTTGTTGCTCACCTATGCTATAGTTTAACCAAATCAAGTCCTTGAATTAAATGAGGATCCCATCCATAAATTCTTAACATTTTCTGACCTTTTCTTTTTATTAAAAAAAAAACAGTCAACTCTAATGATTGTTCTAAAAAAAATTTTTTTAAAGGTTCGTTTTTATTATAAAAGGTTCATTATATCAGAGTCAACTGTATTTGTATACTCGAAGTTTCAAGTCACATTAAAATCTTAATACGTAATACCTAAACAATAGAACCAAAAAGACAACATTAAAACAGGAAGCCTTCCATCTTATTATATATTTGTTAATAATTAAAAGGTTCAGGATCTCTAAATAAGACAGTAGCAAAGTAAGAACCTCTTTAATAGTAATAACCAAAATAAAAAAAATAATTTAATTGTTGCATAGCGATAGTTTTTGGTGAGCCCGTATACTTGATAAGGGGCATTTTGAACTCTGACATTTTTACCAATCACAACTTTTTGACTGTAAAATAACTTGTGAAACGTCATGCAAAATATAACATACATACATATATAAGCAGATTTTCAAACATTTTTGACGTAAATTTATATATAATTTTGGAATGGCAACTGAATGGTAATATAAAATTTTCTGTCATTTTTCTTAGGAAAAAAATAACCAACTATACATAGATGTATTTTATTATAGGAAGTCCTTCTTGGTTTATTGCCTGGTCATTGCTTTCGTGGTGTTATTTCTGTTATTTTATTTTAATCGGATAATTGCATACCTTTTATCACATTTAATTCGAATATATACCTGGAGAAAATATAATGCTTACATTGAAATAGGTGTGCTTTATTTTACAATGATTATTTTCTTAATATATTAGCAATTATTTAGTAATTAAATTGTAATTAAATTTTCTATTTTAGGGTCGATACAATTTGCACCTCTTGCTGGTCGAATTTTATTCAAAAACTTAAAATATTATTCTACAAATCAATCCTTTTCCGTTTTGAAGGGATATATAACCTGTCGGTATTGGTTATGGTCCGTTCGAGAGGAATATAAAATTCAAGAAAACATCGATGGTAATGTAGTTTAATTATAGAATTTTATTTATTGAAAATTATTTAAGTGAATTTTATAATTTTAGTACCAGAACATCCATGTCGAATAAAGTGTCATGTCGATGGTGTGGAATGGTTTGCCTATAATAGGACTTCTGCATACGATATTCTTGACAGTGTTCTGTCGCAAATACATAATACTAACCCTTCAACAGAGTTTCCCGACTCTTCTAGCATAATAAATAATGAAGTAGATGAAATTGCTAGTGATTATTTGAATTTTATCTTAATGCATGTAATTGGTATTTTCATTTCCTCATTCATACTTATTTTCACTCTATTGTTTAGTCAACTTCGATGGAAATGATGCAAATGATGCAAACAATCCTAGTGATTCTTTCTTTCTAAAATTATTACCAATTCAGATGGACTGTGTAAATGGGGCTTTTATATTTGGCAATGTAATGACTTCTTCACTCCTTGTCACAAAATTTTCTCAAGCTAGTGGAATTTATGGTGCTGTAAAGGTAATATTTTGTAATTGAAGCATATATTATTTTGTACTTTATAACCTTTTTTCGATTATATAGTCAAGGTCAAGATTTGATCATTATAAATCAATTATAAATATGAATTTCCGAGAACCACAAATTCTCCTAAAATCGAATCCGGATTATAAAGAAACTTGTTTGGATAAAGGTGCACGCTTAAAAGATGAAAATGTTCTAATGTATGTATAAATATACAATGTATACCATTATATTATTAAATTCTCTAATCAGACCTTTATAAAAAGAGAGCCTGTAAATAAGAGTAGATGTTCAATAATACACAAGCTTTTAGATTTCATTCCATTTTTGAAAAATTCTCGCTCAGTTAATCCTACAGAATGGCATGGACTTCCTAGATATCCTTATGTACCATGTTTGTTTATGGTTTATTTTCAAACAATTTCATTAAATTTTTTTCTTAACAAAAGCTCACATATCGGACAGAGGGACTAGATAATAAAGGCATTTTAGATGATGAATATGCAAAAGTATCAACAGTGCTAGATTGTCTTTTGATGGAAATGACTTATTATTCTGATATTGCTGGTATATTGTTGTTGAAAATAATTAATATGAGCATTAGAGGTCATTAGAAATATATATTTATTTTATTTCGGATATAGGTAGGGTTCCTCAAATATCATTACCAAACACAGATGATATAGATATTGGTAATGGTGATTTATCTCCAGAGTGGGGTGTAGATCTTGCTTTTCAACGGGCACAAATTAATTACGGTCCATGGGCTGATAGACAAAGGTAAGGTTATAATCATTTTTCTTTGTATTTAGTGTATATTTTGCTAATCGTTATTTATAACTTATTTTAATTAGGACCATTCTTCAGAATTTTTTTTTTCCACCGTTATATCGAAATTCAGAGCCAACAAGAAAACTTTCACCTGGACAAACTAGATTGCATACTTCTTTTAAAGTTTTGGTTCAGTTTATTGATCCAGTAACACTTAGGGTTCCTTTAAGAGAAACTTCAAAGGTTTAATATAGTTGTTTACTGGACGACGATTATTGTCATTCATATTAACTAGTCTAATATATATACATATATATTTTAATTAGGACTGGAAGTATTCTCAGAATGACAACCAAGAAGAATTTCAGGTACCTGGTAGTCAGAGACAATATGGATGGTTAGAAGTTAATGCCAATGGTGAAGCTACTATTAATATGACAATGCCTATGGTGATGAGTGACAAAGGATACACAAATAATCTAGTGATTCATCTTGAGGATGTTGACATGCAAACAAGCGTCAATGACTCCCGATTTATAAAAGCTGTGAAGTGTGAGGTATTTATTACTTTTAGATCCCTTTTAATTTTTTTTAAATTTTTTTTTTTTTTGAGTATCATACTTATTAATCTTTTATGTATTTTATCAAATACAACTATTCTTTTCAGATAAAATGTAATTTACCAAATCCACTAGTCTGGAACAAAGATCGTACATGGGAATTTGATATTTATTTTATGGAGCCAGAAATTTTCCTCCTTAGAGATCACATTACTTTATTTCAGGATTTGAGTAAGGATTGGACGTCCGGGCCTTCACCAGACAAACTACATTTTATTCCCATTAAGTATAAGTTTAATTCTCGGTTTACAAATTTTAAGTTGTACCTTTATGTAAATGAGCATAATATTATAAATGATCCAATGGACATAGGCGAAAATAGTAAGTTTGATACATTTAATCAAATCAAATTAGTTTATATATTTAACGTCTTAATAATGTTAACGTCTTCAATCAGCATTTATAATAATAAAGGGGTCACGATTAGTGTCCAACATTGTTGCACCATTTTTAAGTTTTAATCAGGAGATAACAAAAATTTTATTTGATGTGGATGTGAGTTATTTATTAACTTTAATCTATTACAATCGAACCTCTACAGTCATGCCCTCAGTTCAAAGAAATTCTGTGCTTATAAGAAATTGTGCCTATGTAGAGGTCAAATTTCTTATGTTTTATATAAGTTGATTCTAAAAATTAGTGTGCTTATAAAGAGGGTGTGACTCTATTGAGAGTGACTGTATAGGGGGCAGACTGTATATATTATTGCAATGATGAATAATTGTTTAAGTGATTTTTGATTAATACAGATAACAAATGGAAGAATTGTTATGTCTCCACAAGTATCTCAAACACTGGGGACTTTTCTTACTGAATACAGTAAAGACTTTTTCCAGGTTAATAGTTTTAGTGTGGATGGGAATTTCCAATATTACAGCTTTGTTCATCCCAATCATGTAGAATCATTGTCTATGACTATGAAGGTTTGTAGTAATGTTATTCATAGGCTTAAGGATTCTTTATAATCGCTCATTGTATTGCTTTTTGTTTTTAGGGAAAGGAGGCCAATTTGAAATTATTTGGTTTTGTTGTTCGTTATTTTATAATCTTGCAAATGAATTATGCAGGAAATTATATAAATTTTTGTGAATTGAAGGAATATGTTGCTTTGCATGATCCAAAAAATGCGACTGGTACAATTAGACGTCCAGCGCAAGGTACAAAGGTATTTCATTGTTATTTTCAACGTGAAATATTTATATTTACTTTGTCTGTTGCATTGACTCATAATTGCTTAATATTTTATTACGTTAAGCATCCCGCAGATCCTTATGAAATTTATTTGACATTTATCATTGAAGATGGTACTTTAGTGCTTCCTGAAAATTTGTATAATGCTGATGAACCGTCTTCAAGAATTCATTTTCATGAATTGCAGTTTGAATTAAGAAATTTGGATGTATATATGGGTTTGTATGAATTTCTATTTATAAAAATTAATTCATATTATGGATGAATTGTCATAAATTTATATTGTATTAGATATGGATTTAACTATAAGTCCATTAACTTGGACACTTGGTTCTGAGCCTAATATGAAAACTACATATAAGTCACGGTTGCAAAAAGAATCTACTAATTATTTATTCATTGATGGTTAAGTAAATGACTTTTATTTTTTTTGACTTCATTGTTTATTTTCCAATTTATGATGTAATTAAACATATGATAACTCTTTTTTTAAATAATTCAAATTTAGACTTTAATGTATATGCACATCGTTTGTTTGGCCCTTTACCCAAAACTGCAACCTATGTTTGTAATTGGGAAATAAATATTGGAACCATATCTGGGCAGTTGAAACCGTCATTTTTGCTGAGTACTACTTCTTTTGGGAAGGCGTTTTCATACCATTATGTGGATGATGAAAACGCCTTACCTCCAGATTTTCTGAATCCTCTTGATGCAGATGTAACATTTTTAAATTTAAATATTAAAGAAGTTGATATATCTATTTGGGGTGGAGATAGTGTTTCCCAGATTCTTCTTAAAGAAGGTTTATGTGTCAAATTTGATGACCTTGCCAATGAAAAGTTTACTCAAAGAGTATTGATTGACCTACCTGATTTAGTGGTTAGAAGCTTAGCGATGTCTGCTTCTGATTTAAACAGCGTATATCATATTAAGGATGCTGAAAGTCATCCTTTCGTGGAGGTCGCAAGTTTTGAATGTGCGTTTAGTGTATCTTTATATCGTACAATGTTAGATTGGAGACGGAGATTAGCAAGTCAACAGGCGCATTTGAAAGAACAAGATAAGGAAACTTTGAGAATTCCGTTTCTTTATGGATACGAAAATGATGATCAAAGTTAGTAAATTAGTACTTATTTTTGGCTTATATGATACTGATCTAATGCGAAATTTTATTCTCTAATTTTATGACAAACTAAGGTTCATTAGAATCTAATGGCTATCATTTTGGCACCCTTTATGTTCCACCAATGCCAACGCCGTTGCATGGTAAGAACTAGATAAGTATTATCTTACGCATAAATTTTTTTTCTTTTTTTATAATAAACGATTAACATCTTTTGTTTGCATCTTTTGTTCAGATGATGAGGATACTTATTCTATATTAAAAAATGAAAGTGCAAATTCTTCAATGATTGACCTTTCTGCAGGTCAAAACAGAAAACATATTACGAATATGTTAATATTTGACCACCACGGCAATGACGACGAATATGATATGTGGCTACGAACAGACGATGATAGGTTTGTTTTATAAAGATCAAAAAATTTTTTTCGGCTTGAGAGCGTTCTAAAATCCTCAATTTATATTATTTAAGTGTATCTATAATTACTGGGTCAGGCGTTAGTGTATCAAACGCATCGTTTGTTACTGCATCAGATGGTGACGAAAATGAGAGCCTTAATGATAGTGATAGCGATAACACAACCATTGGTCATAATACACCAGTCATTATTGATGGAGGTAAAATATTGTTAAAAAGGTTCACCTTTTTACATTAACTTTCTTACAAACTATTTTCTTCTATAAAAATTTCATAGATTCAGATAGTGACTACTATGTGAACAAAACAGAACTGTCTCCCGACGAAAACCGCTATTCGATGTCCCCACCGGTTGCCAAATCTATTCCATATGGAAGTTATTTAAGACGATATAAACAGTCTTCATTAAAATCTTCTGCAGTTCCATTCCATAGTTCATTTCTTCAACCAACTCGTGTGTCATTCACACCTGCAAGAGTAAATTATTGCAATATAAAACTCATGTAGTATTTAAACTTATGTGATTTTAAGTACTTATTATTATTATATGTAATTGTAGGATGAGGGGTCACTTTCTCCTGACGAAAAAACTCCAAGTCACAAATCATCGCCCTTTTCAAAATTAATGAACGAAAGCATTATTACATCATCTGATGATATAGTTCCAGATCAGTCACAAACTAATCAAGATGAAGCTGAAGAAAAAATGACAATTATCTTTGAGACTACTAAAACTGTAAAAGTGTTATTAACTCCAATTTTCTTGAAAATTGTAGAAGAGTTTCTGGAAGCAATTAAAAAAGAGGTTTGCAAATTCGATAATTTATAATTTATTTTAATTATACATCATTATAGTTTCTTTTTCATTCATTATTAATTATGATTTGATTAACCTAGGTTTGGAATATGGATGCTATGTTTGATAAAATGCAAATGGATTATGTAGGAGAACTCACAAAATCGTTTCCCTTCAAATTTTCGACCACTAGTTTTGGTTTATCTGTTTATAAAGTTCATCTACACTTTATACAAGATGTAATGCTTCCGGATGATTTAACAAATGTAAATGATGAATATCCTAGTATCAGAGCAAGATATGATTTGACTAACACTACATTATGCGCTGCAGCAGATCTTGTCATAGATAAGATTTTAATGAACGGTCTTATAAAATTTCAAAATAAAAATTTTGACAGTAAAGAAAAATTAAAAAGTTTTGAACAACCTTTAAAACTTGTCGAATCTGACGCTAATTTGGATTTTAATTCAGTAAGATTAAACGTACGTTTTGTTACCGGGTCAAATTCCATTGGTATTTTTGGAATTCCTGAGAATATACATCAATTCAAAGAACCTGGATTTATTTCATCTGAACAGTTAAATAATAATCCTGTAGTTTTAAATATTTCGTTAGAAAAACTTAAATTAAAATGGACCGGTTGCATGAAATCTAATAGTTTTTCGTTTGATTTGGAGAATGTTTTTAGTTGTTTTATTAATCAATCACCTGAAATTTTGACCGGGGCAATATACTGGTGGTTTGTATTTGCTGAGGATCTTTCAAACTTATTGAAGAAATTCGAGTCACACCGAATTCGGCAAACGCAAATATTAGTTCATGAAATTGCAAAATACTCTAAAGAAGTAACTAGTGATCCACAATACTTAGCAACACCTTCTCACGTGCTTCGATTAAGTGCGAAAAATTTAAAAAATGATGATGGATGGAAAATACTTGGTCGTCTCAGATATGTTAAGAAGCAAATGCAATTAGATCAACTTGAAAGATTACAAGGAATTTTGAATTCTTCTGATTATCCATTTATAAATCAAAATTATATGTATGAACAGGTGGTACATGTTTTCTCACAGTGGAGGCAGTGGGAAATGGATAATGTTTCAACTTGCCGACTTTTTACAGATCTTTTTCAGCAACCAATAAAGGATTCAAGTTCATTGAATGACTCTGTTGAAACTATTATACAATTAGTGAAGGCTTCATTTAACCGTGTCAAATTAAGAATTGGAAATGTTGCAGTGTCAGTATGGGAATCACAACGTGAAAATTCTATAGTATTGGGGCCCATAGCACTCGATTGTGAAACAACATACCATGAAGATAGTTTCTCAACTTTTGATGTTATCCGATCAAACACAGAACCTGGATCATTTAGCACAACTTCAGGGCCATCACAAATTTCAAATTCAATATTTGCTGGAGATTTGAATATTATTCTTAGATTTGGTGTGGAAAAAATTGGTATAGATGTGAATCCGGATATGCTTGCTTTTGCAAAACATTGGCTCAAGGTGCATCGAACCTTCAGACCCAAATTTGAATATTTGTCAAGTAAAGATCAACAGTCAACTTCTACTGAAGGTATCGCTTCTTCATCAAATGTTCATAAACATAAGTCAACTGGATCTGTTGCAAGTATGAACGAAATAAAGCTTGCCAAGCTTAACGATGGAAAACCAAAAGATACACTTCAAGTTAAAGATTTACTATCACGACTAAATATCTATGTTCAAGGGATAATGATTATTAGGAACATTGCAATAACAGCTTCTGCCCAAAAATTAATCGCACAGACTCAATTATCCAATATTAGCATTTCAATTTGGCTACATAATCCAAAAGCTTTGAATCCCGCTGAAAAGTTAGAATTGGAAAGTGTGTCAGTTAACAAAAGCACCGCACATCCGGGATCGAAAGCAAGCGGTGGTAAAGGTTCAAAAAGTTTGATATTTTCAGTTGTTGGGGGAATCAAAAGTATTTCAATCAATATTATAGAAAAGGCATCCAGTTCTTCTGGTTCAAACACTTTATTATCTATTGAATTTACGCGTCTAAATTCTAGTATAGCTCTCAGCTCCCCAACTCTTGGTCGTCTAAAGAGTAAAATTGATGGAGAATTACTTAAAGTGCTAAACATTTTTTTGACGTTGCAATCTATTTCTATCAAATTACCACAAAGTCTTCTCAAATTATATCACTTTGTTGAAGAATGGAGGGAGGAAAATTTACCTAGTTATGACTTTTTATATAAAAACTTAAAAGATGAATTTGAAGAACAACGAAAAGCACTTAGGCCCCTAACGCCGCACAACATTCGTTTTGCTGAAAAGAATAATAAAAAAAGTATTTTTGATATTAAATTTCAATTTTTGCTGAAAAAGGTTCTTTTACAAACTCATCTGCTTCCATCTTTGCGTTTTCATTATGATGCATGGGATTTTCTCATGATTTTGGAACAGAAAAATTCACCATTTGGTGGAAACTTGATAAAATATTTTGGTCAATTGACAAAACAAGAGATTCACTTTGTGACTCGTCAAAAAAATCAGAATAAATCAAATCAAAATGAAACGTCCATTCCGGAGGAACAAAATGATCAATTACAAAAAGGTATATTCACTATACCGGCTATAAGAGCAACTGGAAAAATAAAACCGGTTGAACCTAATAAAACCACTAGCATAATTATCAAAAAGAACACTAGTCCTGTTGGATCTATGTCTAATATTTCGTTAGGGCCCACATCGAACATTACCCCAAAACATTTAAAGTTGGAATCAACAGTTACTTTAGATTTTGTACAATTAAGTTTAAACGTGAATATAATTGATAATTTATTAACAGCACAATCACTTCTTGGAAATGAGTTTAATGATGTTTTGGATGTCTTTGTTTTTTCGTCAAAAAAACTAAAGGCACGTGAGGTTGCCTCCAAGGACACGAATTCCTCTTCAGCACAAATAGACCCACATAAACAAGACAAATTATACTATAATCTCAAAATATCTCTTCGAGGCTTAAGGATATCAGCCGAGAGTCCTACTGCAGTTGGATTGTTTGAAACAAACATTCTAAATGGACATATTACTAATATATCTATGTCTGAAGATATCAAATCAACGAAGATTGAATGGTTTTTCTCAGCGCAAAAATTCTCTCTTTCTCTTAATCATAATACTGGAATTGGAGGACAATCAACTACAGATGATGATATTAGGAAATATCGGATAGCATATATTATAATTGATTTGACATTACAAAATTCTAAAGGTAAACAACTACAGCAAAACTTATCATTAGAAGACTCTATGGATGTTACAGAGTCATATTTTCTAAAATTAACCAAAGCTCATGCTGTAATGCAACCTATTGCATTGGGTCGTCTTATGGACGTATATGCATATTACAGTGGAGAATTAGAACGTAGAAAGGAACTGAAATCGTCAGAAATTAATAAATTGGCTGAAAGTACACGAAAACTGTGGAAGTCATTCAATATAGAAATGCCAAAATATAAATCAAAGAGTAAAACTTTATTAAATGAGAAAGTGTTATCACTTGAAATTATGAAATTTGCAGTAGCACTTCCATTAGATTTAAGTGAGAATGTTATTTCTACAACAATGAACAATTATTCAGGTGAATCATCACAAGTATCAGCATTTATCTTTTCCGCATCTTCGATGAATTTCATAACAAGAAAGTGGAAATCTAATCATGCAACACTTAAAGACCTGTGCTTTCAATTTGTAACTGAATTTGATCAAAGAAAGGAAGAACTCTCTCCTTCTTATTTCCATTCTAAAATGAATCAAGTTCATCTTCCAGAAATTTCTTGTGAAGGATATAGTTCTGGCACTATGTACAAGAAAAAATTTGACATTCAGTCCCGGGTCGAAGGGTTTGAAATAGACATTGGAAGCAATATTGTTAAACATATAAATTGCCTTGGTGAAATTTACGCTGCAAGCCGAGAACGATTAGAAACATTTGCGGCAGAAGCAAATTTGAATTCGGGATCTGAGCAAAAGTCCGTAAGTGTTGATAATGATAACAATTTATCAAAGGATACAGATGTGATTGATTTGGAATTTGAGGTCGCATTTACTGCCAAGAGTGGTACAATAAACTTATATCCGAAAAGTTATTTTTCCAAAAATCACAGTAGAAAACCTACTGGAAACAAATTATCCGATAAGTCAAGGTCATCTAGGGAGTCTCGTGGAAGCATTGTTTCGCTTCCAAGGTTAAATATAGATTCTATTAGTCTTGATGATGTAACAAAACATGAACATGGAATAGATACTATTATTATCCCTGGTCTCAGCATAAATACGTTATATAGAACATTCTTAAGTGAAAATATAATTCATTTTAACGAAAATAATTCTTTAACAAGACGTTTGCATGTTGAGCTTGTAATTCATCCAAGTTCAAATATATTATTTCCATCCTTGGTGCCATTTTTCAAGGACATTATTGACGGTCTCAAAATAGGAGTTCAGCAATCTAGTGATAAAAAAGCTATTGCTGTTAAAGAAAGTGCATCACCAATTCAGGGTATAAACATAACATTTCATTTCAGACTGTTACATACCACTTTTGAGTTAAGTTGTAAACCTATATCCAAAGTTTATTGCTGCTTTAATTGGGAAGAAGGAAACTTTCTTATATCCTCAAACAGTGCAGAAGAAGGTAGTCAGAGTGTTACATGTGTTGGTAAAATAAGTGGTGCTTCAGGAAATATTCGACATGCTTTCTCACCTGAAGACTGTGTGAAAGCCGAAATAAAAGATATATCATTTAATGCAACAATGATGAGCAGGCGAAGTGAGAGTGTTTCTGATGACTCTATATCAATTATTGTGGAACTTCCTCAAATTACCGCAGATTTAAACATTCGTTATTTGCAGGATCTGTTAGTTCTTAAGATTATATGGTTAGATCAAGCAGCAAAATTATACGAAGGAATTCCCCAAAATTCACAACAATTATCCCAACATATTAGTGGGGATTTAATAAATACTAAAAGGCAGCTTTCACCTTCACCATCTCAAGAAGAAGAACCAAAAGTTAAGCCATATTCATTTTATGCATTTGTAAAATTGGATAGGCTGGATTTATCCAGTGATCTAGGTCAAGCAATCGGGAAGGTTTTGTTCAATACTCAAAATATTCAAGTTCGTACAAAGAATATACCAGGAGTTCAAAAAAGACTTGCCGCATCCACAGACGTTCTTAATATTAAATGCGAAGGGCGTCTTATTGGGTCAGCAAGCATTGCAGGACTTGGATTTTCCACAGTGCTTGGAGTACCACCACATTCAGAAGGAGATAGTCAAACTTGCGTAACAAATTTGGTATTTAAATCTGAGAGAATTCAATCAACATTTGAATATGAATTTCAAAAAATCATAGTTCTTGATGTAGACCCGATGCAATTCAAACTTACAGATAGTTGGGAAATTGTATCACCGGAAAATGCATCCGTATTAGTACACGCAGATATATCACTACGACAAATTCAAGCAATTGCTACCATAAAAACAATACCTACAATTCTTCACATGATTAACAAACTTTTAGCATTAATTGAAGAAAAGATATCATCTGCTTCTAGTGCAATTTTAGATTCTAAATTTAATAGTTCAAATAACTCAAATATTGATACTTCACCACATGGAACGGGTTCTGATAAATTATCATGCGAAAAAACTGATATAATAACGACATTTAAAGAGGTATTAGTTGGAGGGGTGACAGTTCATCCGATTGGAAAAATTACAATTGCGATGGATAAAGCATATTTTACATTATATCCAAATAACTTTTACGATTTAGATTGTTTACAAACGAAATTTGATGGACTTTTTTTGGATATGAATAAGTCTATTAAAGATGAAACAGTTCATCGAGAACTTAATGTTCGTCTCAATGGTATTGCATTATTAAAAAGTTTGTGCAAGAAGCTCAAACTCAAGGATGATAATGAACTTACGCTTCAGAAATGGTTTGAGCATGTTGAGACAGCATCTTCTAAGAATATATTTACTCTTCCTAATACAAATTTAATAATGAACACTACACAAAAGATGGGAAGTAACATAGTTGATCATAAATTTGAAATACATTTTGGAGGAAAAGTTGATGTTGCGTTAAATTTCGGATTAATTAGATATATTCAAGAATTGTCAGCTTTATATAAAGAACAAATGAGAAAGAATAGTACTGATGTTCCAAAGTCACCTAACACACCTGGTACGTCATCTAACACAGGAAATCAGTTGCAATCACCAATAATAATGCATACAGCACCGACTACAGAACTACCATTGTCGGATAACGAAGATTTAAAAGAAGCTAAGGATAAGGATATAATATATAATCCAATAGAAGCAGTAAAATTAGAGCCGCAATTACGTTATCTAGGAGATGCTACGCCACCTTTGGAATGGGTCGGTGTGCAAAGAGCAAAAGTACCTGGATTTGTCCATACCACTATTACATTGAATTTAGATGAAATTATAAATCATATTACTAATAAATCATTTAAAGCAGCACAAGCTTTACTATAATATTTTGTATAACATATACATTTGGAGAATAAGTTTAATTGAATCTAATTATAACATGGCTATTTGTAACAATTTAATATAGCCAATAACCAATCCCTTCTAACATAATAAACTAAAAATGGCACATAGAAGTAAAACTAAATTATAGGAATATTTTCTGAATGGAATTTATTATAAAAATTTTAGTAATACTGAGTGAATCGTGTCAATTACTTTTCAGATTCACAATAAACTAGGGCAAAATGCACAATATTCAGTGCTGTCAATTTCTTGTTCTATTGATAAAATCTAAATTCTATTCTAATTTCTATTGTTCTATTCTATTGTTCTATTTATTTATTGTTATATTAATATCTAATGATAATCTATTCTATTGTTCTATCCATCTGTTGCTGCAACACTGATAATATTGTATACTCAATAATTCTTAAAAACTAATGGGATCTTTGCTATTAAAATGACCCTCTGAGACATTGTTGCTCAAGATTTTTATTAAGAAAAACAGTTATTTTTAGAAAAAATTTTCATAGCAAAGACTACAGTTGTTAGGCGAAACCTAGAGGCTTCGCCACTGGCGAAAGGCGAAACCTAGTTTCGACTTTCGGCAAAAAAATTTAAAAAGACGAAATGGCGCAAATGGCGAAACCTGGCGAAACCTGGCGAACCCTGGCGAAACTGGTGAAAATATCACAGCAAAATTGTCTCGGATTTATTGGCTAAGAGCGCTAATAAAAAATTTGGCTGGAATTACTCAAAATTTTACTAATGAAATCACAGCCGCTCATTGATTGAAAATTGTTCCTGGGCTAATTTTACCATTTTGTGGGTTTATTTCTTTGAAAATTACTATTTTGAGAATAAAAAAGTTCAAAACTTAATTCCGGTCAGAAATTAGTAAACAGTTATGTAATGTCGGCCGAAATTTTGCAGATACACACCTGTTAACCAATCAAATCGAGGATCTGATGGGTCAATTTTGTTGCTACAGCTATAGTAATTAAAGAATTTTTGCTGCGCCACAAACCTGGCACACATTCAAGAATTACTTCGATACTATGGAAGTACGGCATTACGGCAATATCAGTCGAGCTAGAAGTCACACATAAAATTTTATCATATGATTTTCATAAATTACACAAATTGACGAAATCACGTTTTTTAAAATTCCACCCAAAGTCTTAGTCACAATATCCAATGTCTCTTTAAACAAAGTAGTTGCCAGGGTTTCAACGAATCGAACAGTACAAATAATATGAAAAACTAATGTTACCTAGTAATATGCGATCACCTCAAAGATGAGCAATTGTTTTTTCTCTTTTCATAAGATTCTTTTTGAGTTTACAAGATCTTGACATAAAAAATATCTTGCTAGATGCACATGAGCGAGAACTTTCAGAAAAATGCATCTTTAAAAGTGTGGTATGTTATAAAAATGTGGAGAAAATTAAGAAAAACTATTTTTATAATATGAAGAAATTGATTTTTGTTAATTAAAAAAATTTTTTTTTTTAGCAAAGCAACATTGCATAAATTTATTAAAGTAAATTATTTTGTTTATTAAAATTATTTTGAAACAATATTTATATAATTTATAATTTCTAAGATACATTCTTTGATCTCTTATATTGGTTATATCATTGATTCTAAATTCATTTTGGTGTTCAATATTCATATAGTGACAATTCTTCTATTAACTTATTAACAAACTCTCTTGGCAATACTGTAGAGTTTTTATATTTCTCAAGCTGAATTAAAATATTGTCTTTTTTAGGTTCAATATAATGTGTTGTATATGGTTTTCAAGACATGAATTCAGAAAATGGAATAGTTTCAGAAAATGGTACTAATTGTAAGATTTTATTTGTTTCAATAATTTTCATATTATATAATTCTGAAGTATGCATAGAACTATTGCTTACTTTTATATTTGTTTATTTATTTGGTCAGTTTCTCTTTCATGTTTTTTTTTTTATTTTTTACTATATTCATAATATTAAATTTATATCCAGTTTATTGTTTTCTATATTTGCTTAGGTAATTGTATAATAAATATTTTGTACAACAATCTTATTCATTTTGCTAATTCTGAATTGATAATAGTAAAACATTTGTTTGTAGTGTTGGGTTTGGAAGATTGCGACTCAGTCACTTCAAAATTCAAAACCTTGTGTAACATATAACAAGTAACCTTTCGAAAGAGGGTGTTAGATTTGGCTTGTAGGCGGTTAAGGCTTTCAGTCACTTTGGGTCAATAAATGCAAATAAGATAAGTCACATAATTAAGGGTTGAACAGTGACATTATAAGAGGTTCATAGGATTTGTAATAGTAATAGTGTTAGTGTTTATTAAGTACAATGTAGGGTATTAGGATTTATTATTTAATAAAGCAAATAAAGTATACTGCTCTTAAGAGCCATTTCGGCCTTTATTTATAATACTAAATTCATCACTTACAAATGTGACTTTGCACTTATTATTCCTTAAAACTATTTATAGTGATTTATTTAATATCTTTAAGGATATATAATTTATTCTTACATCCTCCTCTTATTCTTTATCTACCTTTTTAGATCTGAAATACTGTTTCTAATCCTAAATGTAACTTATTACACATATTGTATTTTATGCATTTTTCATATGATCAGTCATAATATCTGGTATTACAGTAGTTAACATCTGTTAATTATGACATTTTTTTAAACAAAACATTTAATTCTGGCTATGAACTGCTTAATATCATATTAAGTTTATTAATTAATTTCTAGAGTATTTCTTCTTGATCTTTAACAAACTGTAGGTTCTTGCTTATTGACTAATTTTTAGTAACTACAAAAAATTAAAAAGTTAAGTTATTTATTTTCTGCTTGTATAGCTTTAGCATTTTGCTTTAAATTCTCTGAATTAGTTTTATGTTCAATAATATTTTTTTTATAAATTTTATACTATATATTTCTAAAGCCTCATCATAAACAAGGTAATGATCTTCTTGTATCATATTTATTAAAAGTATGGTTTAAAGATCTTGAAAAGGTTGTGATTTGCATTAAAGATCTACCAAAAATCATATTACTGTAATAGAATTTACTTTTTTTTTTTTGAATTTCTACTGCCTGATCACTAGTGGGTCACAGTTGGCAGCTATTTTATTAGTTCAATTTTTCAAGTTCACAGGATCTTCTATCAGAACCCCACCTACATTTTACATTTTTATTTATATATATTTTTACAGTACTATCTATATACTAATTTTGTGTTCCAATTATTCCAGAATTTTACTGGGACTATTTCTAATCAGGGATTCCTTTGTTCTATTATTGTCCTCAGCTCCCTAATCATCGCGGCCTTCTTATGTTAGGTCTGTTGCCATTTAAGGATCTGGGTATTGAAGATCTTTCTATTTTCATAGAGCATCACCTGCTGTAGTTAATCAACAATCATAGTCTTAACTCAGTTTTTCGTCCCCTATTGGACTTGAACTGGCAACCTTGTGATTGGTAACCTGGGAGCATAACCACTTTGCTATTGACCCACAGGTCTGAATTTACTTTTTTCTATATTAGTATATATTTATTTTTAGCTCTATATTATATTTTATATTTTTTCTAATATTTTTA